AGAGTGTCAGTAAAGTCCTGAAGAGGTTTCAGGGCCTTTTGGACTGCCTCTAGAACCTCAATGTCTTGCCATGTCAGGACAAGATACCTACACTTTTTGTGTAGGACCCTCTCAATCATCTGCTGCCTTGATCCCCAGCGTGTGGCTGACTCTGCGATGAGCTGGTGAGCCGGCAGACTACAAAATGTTATGATATACTCCTATATTTGTGTATGTTGTTTAATGTTGCTGCGCACCCCATAAACACAGTCAAGCCAAAAATCCATTAGACCACCACTCACCAACAGCCAGATGAACACGGTGACCAAAGCACTGCATCCTCCGCATCCATCCACCAATTCATTTCCACTGCTTTGACGATGTTGGCTCTGTTGTCCATTGTAACAGCAACTAGTCGCTTTTCTTCCAGCTTCCAGCACAAGAGAGCGTCCTTCAGGGCCTCTGCAATGTGTTCTCCAGTATGATCCCGAGGAAAATAGCTTGTTTGGAGACACGCTGATTTAATTTCCCAGTCTTCAATAAAATGTGCCGTCATGCTCATGTAAGGCTCGCTTACTCCGACTTGACCACAGATCTGTATTTAGTCCGAAATTCGTCAAGTTAGCCAGCCGGGTGTTAAGTGTCTTCCGGACATCCGTATACATTTTTGGCAGCACCTCTCATGCAAAATACTTGCATGAGGGCAACTGGTGTATAGTCAGTCATAATGCACAGACTGTCAAAATGTGAAAAAGTAATCACATTACAAAAATGACATTACTTCTCACTGAACTGTATACAATATTTTTAGATGTTGTGGGAGCAGTGGCTGCAGCATGCCGAAGTTTCATGTACTCCTCGTACTGGAGTTTGTGGCGTTGCTGTATATGGTGGTACAGATTTGTTGTGCTTCCACATTTGGACACAACGTCTTTGCGACACAGTCTACAAATTATGTTTTTTTTGCTTGACATTATCTCTTCTGAAACCAAACCACTTCCAAACTAATGAACCAGTGCTTTTCTTTTTACATAACAAAACTTCGTCACTCGTGTCGAGCGGAGCCTGAGCTGCTTCTATGCTGCTGAGTTGAAAATAGCCGCTGACTTCCACTGGCCGCATGCACAGTGGAAGAGTGTGGACAGGGTGCAGATGTGTGTGAGTGAGAGAGAGAGAGCCTGATGAAGATAGACTCTCGTCTCGTCTTTTAACTTTATACCGCGGTATAAACAGTATTGCGTAATTCTACACCGCGTTTAAAATTATATCGATATAAGTTAATATATCGATATACCCCCTAGTGTGGGTGCCATGTGTGGCCGAATACATTTCTGTGTGTGTGCTGTATGAATAACACAGCCTCGCTTTGTCTTTGAGGGGCCTCCGGAGTCCGGAGACGACAACGACTCTGCCAGTGTCGACTCTGTGGAGGAGCTGCCGTACTCGGACAAGGCCGAATCTTTTCTCAGCAGGTGAGATTATAAATCACAGTGTTAGAGGTCCAAGTAGCTGCATACTTCATTAAGTGTATGTGTGATTTATCTTGGGGGAGCGAAGTGCTGTACCCTGGGTGTTTTCTTCATTCAAGAGGTCTAAATTGTAGCTTTGTGGTCATCAGCACTGTGTTGTTGTCACTGTCAATACAGAGGAAAAACCCAAGGAGCTGGTTCTAAATGTTTTGGTTTTGTTATACATTTCCAGTGATTCTGATGTGGATTGGGAACCAGACACCAAGAGGACACACACCTCCCTCCACAGCACCTCTGAAGAATCATCTGATGACGATCTTCCTCTGCCAAAAGCAGCTGGAGAGACACTGTCCAGAGGCAGAGGCAGGGGCAAGGAGAAGCAGGCAAAGCCCTCCAGCAGCACAGCAAACAGGTGGCACGGTGTGGAGGACGATGACGCTGAGCCACCGCAGCCTGTCTTCAGACCTGCACGAATACCTGGGCCCCAGCTGAAAAGAACTGCATCCTACACTCCACTGCAGCTGTTCCAGCTATTTTTTTCTTCAGAGGTCATGCGGACAGTTTTGGCAAATACAAACAGGTATGGTGCCAAGCGACACGAGGGAAGGAACAATAACTGGAGGAAAGTGTCCCTCCAGGAGCTCTGTTCATATCTGGCGTTGGTCATATACATGGGGCTAGTGAAGTGCACGGCTCTGACCGACTACTGGAGGACGTCACAGCTGTATAAACTGCCCCTGCCTGCGTCCCTCATGTCGCTGAGAAGGTTCCTAGGAATCACAGCTGCTCTCCATCTGAGTGACCCAAAGGTGGATGCAGAGAATGAGCAAAAGAGGGGAACTGCAGCCTTTGATGGCCTATGTAAGATCAAACCCATCTATCCACAGATTGTGGAAGCCTGCAAGACTCACTTTCACCCCACACAAAGCATCACTGTGGATGAAAGGATGGTCACTTCCAGAGTCCGGTCAGGACTCAAACGATACATGAAGAACAAGCCCACAAAATGGGACTACAAACTGTTTGTCCTGGCAGACTCCAGCTGCGGATACACGTGGAACTTCTTTGTGTATGAGAGCAAAGCAGTGGTTGAGAATGGCAAGGGGCTCAACTATGACTCAGTCATGAATCTGCTGGATGAGAAGCTGCTGGGCACTGGCTACAAACTGTTTGTGGACAACTTCTTCACCAGTCCAAGTCTTTTCAGAGACCTCCTCCAAAACAGGATTTGGGCTTGTGGTACTATGCGTCCATTTGGTCTTCCCAAAACCGTGGTTAACTCCATGCCGTCAAACGCTCCCAGAGGCACTGTACGGTGGATTCGGGAAGACGGCCTTCTCTTTGTTAAGTGGAAAGACACCAGGGAGGTCCTGCTGTGCTCCACTTTCCACAGAGCATTTGAGGGAGACACGGTCCAGAGGCAGGTGAGAGGGGACGACGGTCAGTGGTCAGTCGTGAACATCCCCGTTCCAGCTGTGGTCAAGGAGTACAAGAGGTATTTCTTCATTCAGGTTTTTATGCACCTGGATTTGTATCCAGATGTTCTTTGTTGTCAGAAGTATTTGCTTTAGTTTGTGTGTGTGTGTGTGTGTGTGTGTGTGTGTGTGTGTGTGAGTGAGTAAGAGAGAGAGAGATAAAAAAATATCTACATGTTGTTTCAGGGGGGTGGGAGCCATGGACATTTCTGATGCCCTCATCAGCTACTACAACATCCTCCACAAGACCAAAAAGTGGTACAAAACATTTTTTTACCACTTTGTGGACATTGCAGTGGTGAATGCTTTCATCCTGCATCGCCACATGAGAAGAGCCAATGGTGACGAGCCCATGACTCAGAAGGCCTTTCGGGAGACCCTGGTGTTGGAGCTCGGAGCCTGTAGCCACAGCCTTGTCTCAACATCGGCCTCAACTTCTACCCCAACATCTGCCTCAGCCAAACACCGGCCGAAATACATTTCTGAAGACAGCAAAACGAGGCGCAGGTGCCGGCGCTGCCACCAGAAGACGCCCTATGTCTGCTTGGCGTGCATGGTTCCCTTCTGCATGCAGCCACAGAGAGACTGTTTCAATGACTGGCACGATGAACAGGGACTGTAAGGACTGCGGGGCCCAGACTGGGACTGGCCTCTGTGGAAACAGAATGTTTTGGATTGATGTTTTTAGTCATTTGTTATTTTTTGTCTGTACAGAGTAAATAGTATACAAATACTTCTACAATTTTTTCACTTCATTTTTGTGAAATAAACATTTTCTAAACATTCTATTGATTTGTACAAAAATATGGTATCAACATCACAAAATATCTGTTGTGTTTTGTACAGATTAAACATTAAAATGCAGGGGATGAAAAACTGGGATACTACTAGCTAGCTGATAGAATACAGCTTTTCCAACATAAATAAATCAGCAGCACCGGCTGTTCTTCATGACTAACAACATGTGGACCTGTTGAATAGTATAGGGCGTACATACTGCTCCAATTCTACAAAAGGTTTTCCAGAAGGCATTTGAGAAGCAAAGTATTAATACTGTACGTTTAGTTCCCAAGAAGGACATGGATACACAGCAGACCCTCATCATCTCAGATCCATCAGTTTGCTGAAAGGATGAGTTTTGCCAGTGAGCGTTGAAAGAAGAACCAGGACTTAAGTTCCCATTTCAGGTAAATAAATGAGCTGGAGTGAGATTAACAGCAATACAGACAGATCAACACAGAGACACAGGAAACAGATTCTCTCACACCCTTCCTTTCTTTCCAACCTTCTTGTACAGTTGGTAAACTCATCCTGATGCTGGTTTCCTTCCCTGGTGGTTCTAAAATTCTATAGGCACCTTATACAGAGCTACACTTTGGGGAGTGTTAGATTTTACCCGGTTCTTTTATTGAAAGTGCAAGAAGTGAAGACAGGAGAGGACTGTTTAAAATCAACAGAAAGTTTACTGAAAGTCTGAGCACAGGTAGGTCTTACAGTGCTGGGATCAGAGAGATAGCGCTCCCGCAGGAATTCCATTCTCTGGACCCCGAGTTACATTTTCACAATACTTTTAAGTTCGTGGGCTGCTCCGCCCTGGACATTCCACACTTCGTAATCCTGTTGGCCATTTGGTGTAAGTAGGTCAACCCCTGCCTGTGCTTGCATGCTGATGTGTGATCTAGACCAGGTGTGTGTGTGTCTCCGGCACCCTGATCTTGATCTCAAGATGCACTGCTCAATGGGTGGCCTGAATTGCAGGCCCCCTGTGTGTGTGATGATAATAAGTATGCTAAACTGGCCAGGTGGTCATCTCAGGTTGTGGGCCCCCTGGCGCTGCAGGGCACCCCAAGACAAAGCAGAATCTTGGAATATGCTAAGTGGGTCTAGGTGCAAGTGTAAAACAGGCCAACAGGTCTCTGTTAAAATGTAAATAGGCTGTCTGGTTTCTTGGAGATGCAGACATACTGTCTCTACACAGAAGTTAGAGCAGGCAGTTTCTACCTCAGTATCACTTGATTCTCATCAATACAATTGTAAGACATACAGTATAAACAAGGAAAATAAATGTATTAAAAATGACCAAAGCTCAGTAGTTCTGGACAATCATCAATACAGCTGTAATATGTATAAACAAGGAAAATAAAGTTGTGAAAAGTAACTAAAGGGAATTAAAGGTATGAGAAGTAACTAAAGCTTGTAAAGTAACTAGAGTCTATAAGACTCAAATCTTACAGGAGGTACATGTTAGCTACGGTGTAGGGCTAGCTGTGCATTACCTAGGCCCAGGTACAGACTGCCCAGGATGCTTCAACACCAACGGGCTCACAGGCTCTTGGTCACTTGTTAAGCCCCACCCCCTAGTAACTGTTGCTAAAGCTTAATGTTTTCAACTAACTCGTCTGAAAATCTGAACCATGAATAAGATTTAAACAATGTAAGTTCAACTGTAACGTACATTGGGTACGGAAAGTATTCAGACTCCCTTAAATTTTTCACTCTTTGTTATATTGCAGCCATATGCTAAAATCATTTAAGTTCTTTTTTTTTTCCTCATTAATGTACACACAGCACCCCATATTGACAGAAAAACACAGAATGACATTTTCGCAGATTTATTAAAAAAGAAAAACTGAAATATCACATGGTCATAAGTATTCAGACCCTTTGCTCAGTATTTAGTAGAAGCACCTTTTGAGCTAATACAGCCATGAGTCTTTTTGGGAATGATGCAACAAGTTTTTCACACCTGCATTTGGGGATCCTCTGCCATTCCTCCTTGCAGATCCTCTCCAGTTCTGTCAGGTTGAATGGTAAACGTTGGTGGACAGCCATTTTCAGGTCTCTCCAGAGATGCTCAATTGGGTTTAAGTCAGGGCTCTGGCTGGGCCATTCAAGAACAGTCACGGAGTTGTTGTGAAACCACTCCTTCGTTATTTTAGCTGTGTGCTTAGGGTCATTGTCTTGTTGTAAGGTGAACCTTCGGCCCAGTCTGAGGTCCTGAGCACTCTGGAGAAGGTTTTCCTTCTCCAGAGCCCTGTACTTGGCCGTATTCATCCTTCCCTCGATTGCAACCAGTCGTCCTGTCCCTGCAGCACCCCCATAGCATGATGCTGCCACCACCATGCTTCACTGTTGGGACTGTACTGGACAGGTTGATGAGCAGTGCCTGGTTTTCTTCACACATACCGCTTAGAATTAAGGCCAAAAAGTTCTATCTTGGTCTCATCAGACCAGAGAATCTTATTTCTCACCATCTTGGAGTCCTTCAGGTGTTTTTTAGCAAACTCCATGCAGGCTTTCATGTGTCTTGCACTGAGGAGAGCCTTCCATTGAGCCACTCTGCCATAAAGCTCCAACTGGTGGAGGGCTGCAGTGATGGTTGACTTTCTACAACTTTCTCCCATCTCCCAACTGCATCTCTGGA